AGATAGCATCACCGAAGCAATGAGCATGAAACTGAGCAAGCTCCAGGAGGCAGTGAAGGACAGGAAGGCCTGGCATGATATGGTTCATGGGTCACAGAGAGTCGGACACGACTTAACGACTGAACAACAACAAAGAAAACTGGAAGCTATTTCTTTATATTTTTTTTCCTGCACTTTTGGCTTTGTTTTTTTTCCCCCCTCTTTTCTTTATTCCATGTATTAATTTGTTAGTTTTTATCTTTATTAAAATCTTAATAAAGTTATATAAAAAGGTATTCAATATAGCATGAGCTCTGCTATCTACAGAGCTCCTGACCTTGTCCTTCCTGACTCCTTTGTGTGGCTGGGCGATTTGGAAGATAGTTAATGCTTCTTGAGGGAGGGTATTATGCTACTGGCTTTTTAATAGGTGTGATTCATTTTCCCTTGAGGAAGCCAACTCTTTATCTGATCATATTTTACAACTCTTGCCCTGTCTTCGACCTTCCTTCTAGGTAAGGTTGTTGAGAAGATGGCGGGATGCAGCTATAGACGATCTTACAGAAAATTGTCTTGATCCATTTCAGGCAGGATTCAAGCCTATCATGGCACCAAGACAGCATTAATTGCTCTGAAGCTTGACAGCCCTTGATAGGAAAAGTACACCCTTCCTTGTCCTTTTAGACCTTGCAATAGTGTTTGATATAATCAATCATGGTATTTTTTGATGGACTGCCTGCAAGGTTCAGGGGTGTTGTTGTTGCTTTATGGTGGTTCTGTTCCTACCTGAATGGATAGTTCCAGTCAGTAGTCATGGGGGATGAATGGTTGAGCCCTGGCCACTCCGCTGTGGCATGCTTCAAGGCTCAGTCCTATCCTTTACATTATTTAACATCTATATGAAGCTGCTGGACGATATCATCCATTGGTTTGAAGTAAGGTGTCATCATTATGTTGATGGCACTCAATTGTACGTCGCTACTCCAGGCCAAGCTGGAGATGCTACAGAAGTCTTGTACTGGTGTCTGAAGGAGGTAAGGGTCTGAATGGGGAGAAAGAAGTTCAGATTAGACCCTATCAAAATACAGCCACTGTCTGTTATCAAGCATCCAGCAATATTCACCTTGTGTTTGCTTCTGATGGGCACACTCTCCGTGAAATCGCTACTTTGTGACCAGAGTCCTCCTGGACTCATGGCTCCTGCTAAAATAGCAGATGGAAGCTGTGGCCTGAAGGACATTCACCCAGCTCTGCCCAGGATGCTCTTGCAACAGTGTCTCACACCCAGCTCATTGCATGATTGGACTACTGCAATGCACTCAATTGGGAGCTGCCTTTGAACACTGCAACCGGACCACGAGACAGCAAATTATCAGCTGGGGAAACCTATTTGAGAATTACACCTATTCTTAGGTTGCTGCACTGGCTGCATAAGCCTCCAGACCCAATTCAAAGTGCTAGTCAGTATCTATAAAGCCCTATATGGCATGGCACTAGAATGTCTGAGAGACCACTTTACCAAGCATGATTCTGCTTTTCTAGTATGGTAATCTAGAGATCGGTTAAGAATCCTGTCTCCTTGTAAAGCTTATTGAACAGGATCAAAAGGTCAGGCCTTGGTGGTTATAGCCCCCACACTGTGGAATAGTCTGACTTCAGAAGCATGATTGGCCCAACTCTCCATGCCTTCAGAAGGGCCCTGAAGAAAATTTTATTCCAACAGGCTTTTGGCCTATAATATGGTTATTGGGCACCCACTGGTTTTTTGTTTTTTTTTAACGCTGCTTATATTATTTTTTCCTTCAGTCCTAGTCCTAGTGACTGGGAAAGGTATACAAAAACTAACTAAATAAATCTTAATAGAATTGTCATTCCCTGTAATTTCCAAATGCATTTCTCTTCAGAAAGTTAAAAAAAAAAAAGAACTCTTGAACTTCTGGTATAAACATCTGTCAGAATTTCTCTATCTACTTTAACATGGGTCCATTACAAAATGTTACAGATATTTTAATTTGAAGTTCTAACAACTAGTCACCTGAACTAGTTTTCAGATGCTGCAGCTTCATCAATATGAAGACTCTAATGAGAAACCTTGATATCCTACTTTTAGTTTCATATCAACAAGAACACCGATACTGCTCTTTATAGCTTTTGTATGTCTGAATTCTGAATGAACAAAGAATGATGTTATTCTATGTGAATATGTCCTCTTGCAATCCTAAAGTATACATTTATTTTAAAAACATTCAACATTAAAATGTATAGTTTAAATACATGTAAGTGTGATGTGTGTGCGTGTGTGTGTGCGTGTAATGTAAAAAGCATACTACCAAACAGGTACTGCAGAATATACTGAGGTCCAAGCTTCCTGTCTCTGCAAGTTCCACTATTGTCTGTAAAAAATAAAACAAAAACCACATTAAATCTTTTAAGAACTGACTTTATACATAGTATCTCGATTTTTATAAATACAGTCAGATTAGCATATAGACTATCTCAGTGTCTGACAAGTAAATCAAATTGTGAAATTTCACTACGCTTCTGCTGCCAGGATGCCAAGCAATTAGAGCATGTTAACACTGATTCTAACCAGCTGTGTTTGTTGCCAGACTGTTAGCATTCAGTTTTATATGTTTTGTATCTGTTACTAGAAAGACCGTCTGCACTTCCATGACCCTCTTAAACCTTTAAGGTCTCAGTTAACACAATATTGTTTAAGTTCATAATGCCATTGCCTTTTTAATCATGGTCTCATAATTATGGATCAAATTGCTGATGTTTTAAATGAACTGTAAAAAAATTGGTTATTTACCATTCATTTAACATACTGGTTGATGTCAGTATAGGCTTTAAATTGTAAATTTAACCATTTTATTTTAACAATTTTGACTACTTACTGTTGGTTTTGATTTAAGTATTGAATATTGTTATTATTAAATATTTGTATTCCGCCCAACACCCAAAAACTCTGGGCATTTCACAAGGAAACAACTTTAAAAGAAATAAAATAATGTAACAATAAACACGAACGAGGAATAAAAGGCAGCAAACTGGACAGGAGCAAAAACAAACTCACACCACCTAAAGGGGCCTTCACTCATTGCTTGTCAGGCCCAGCCTAAGAACAACAGGGAAACAATCCAGCCAAGTTCAGTTCTTTGTTGCTTAGACCATATAGACAGAATCTTGCCAGACTAAATTTAACTATGCTAAACTAATAAATATACTCTGGGAGAATCTAGGGAGCGGCTATCTTAAGTCTCTTCTTCCCACCCTCATGCTCTGGACTATGTTGTCTCTTGTCTCCCCCTTTTTCTTCCTGGAATGCACTCCCTCCTTCCCGAGAACCTGGGTCTCTATTGCATTCTATCACACTGCTATTAATAATGACAATGCATTATAAAAATATTCAAGAAAAGTGAACAAATATTCAAGTAAAACACATTAAATACCAGCAAATTCTGCAAAGAAATAACTCCTAAATAACAACAATTTTAACTGGTAAAATTGTGCTAACATTATAAATAGTAAGTTGATTTGGTGACCTTTCCTAGTACTTCTTCCTATTAGTACAAATGTTGCTGCTTTTATCTTGATATATAGAAGGGCTTTATTTCCAGTCCCAAGACAGGAGACTATATTTTTTTATAATGTGGTAAGAGCCCATAACACAGTAACCAAAGCTTCACTGAGGAATGCATCCAGGGACTAGAAGGTAACGGTTAAGGAGCTCAGCCCATAATCTGCAGACAAGGGATGGGAGAAAACCAAGAAGCCATCAACCTTGTGATATGAAGCTGAAATTGTACCTATATTCAAACAAGAAAGGTCTTTCTTAAAAGAAAATTCTATTATTTATTAATTTAGAATACATTAATAAAATTGCCTATAGGATTGCTTACTCTTCTATAATTTAACCCACACTCTTAGATTCTAATGAGGTGCTTTTTACAGGTACTGGTATAGAAATATCTAACATCAAAGAAAAATTCTGTTTTTCAGTGGTGGGGTCTACTCTGTGGAATAATTCACTGTTTGAGCTAAGCCAGGCCCTTATTACAATTTACAAGGCAGCTTAAAATGTGCAATTTTATCCTAGACTTTCAGAGGTTTTTAGTGTTTAATTTTAATGGTTTTATAAAAATTTATATATGTTACACATGGAGTAGCATATACATTTATAAATAAATATGTGAAGTAGTAAGTGAACAAAAATAAACCCTGATTCCAGTTGAATCCACAAAATTCTGAAAAAGAGGCCACTTTTGTGTAAGAATATAAAATTGAAGTGTTTAAAATGGCAAATAAAATTAACAGAAGGAGACTCATCTAAAATTGGTTGATCCATTAAGCAGTCAAAGATTTTGGACCTCACAACAAAATTGGCATGGTAGACATCAGAATCATTGATTTGCCAGTTGAAAGAGTTGAAGAATCATAATCATGATCTTCTTGGTCATCATGGTGTTATGAAAAAGTTTATCATCCTGTTGCAACAAAGCTTGATACGTTTGACAAGGATCCTGGTGACTAGAGGAGTTGGAGAAAATGCATTAAAAAATCCTTAACCATTTGTACTGGAATTCATTCTCCAGTGGATTGTGAGCTTTTATCATCCAGTTGTGGATGCTGAGCACACTGACAGTTATGTGCATCTGCAAAAATATCCACTTAAAATTGGCCCCAGCTTTTGAATATCTTGCAGTGCCCAAGAAAGCAGAATCCAGTTCTGGTTTATTTTAGATTTCCAGTGTGCCTTTTTTTTATGGAAAGTCAAGGCCTTGGTACAACTGAACCTGTTTGCTAAGACATTTTATTCACAGAAATGTCAACCACCACCAAAAAAATATGTCATCCAAAATATGATGGGAAGTAGAATCCTAGAAAGTATCTCTTCCTGTTTATTTATATCAAAAGCACCATGTTGTCTGAGAGTACATGACCTATGTAATGGTATACATAATGGGATGCATTACCTATAAAGTGTAGAGATGTTTATCACTTCAAGAAATTTGAACATACTCATATGAGCTAGGCTTCTTACAGAACCCAACTTCACCATGAAGGAAATTGCCAACTAAAGTTGTTTTTTGGGAACTATCCTAAGAGAAGCCACTCTATGAAAGATAGTATTATGATGTCCAGCATTCTGAAGTGAGCAATCACCACTGCTACAAACTTAGTGCAATTGCAAAGCTGAAGGGTAGCACCTGATACTACTGTAGTTTCCAGCTTCTCTAAAACCAAAGAAAATGGGAATAGCTTGTTCCAATAGCAATATGAAAACAAGCAGAATGGAATGCAAAGCATCAGCTTTCTTTGAGACTATGAAATACCAAGAACAAAAACTCCTACTGTGTTGATTTCTGGTATCACTTATATCACTGTCTCTCAAATGTTGTTACACAGCTGATGAGAGAAGTAGAAAGTGGGGAGGGGTGCCAAATCAGCACTAGAACAGGAAAATCATACTCTACGTCACATCTATTTGAAATGATTTTGAGACCCAACAATATATTTGTTTTTTTAAAATAAGCCACTTTCTCCAAACATTAGTCCCAGTCCTAGAAAGTCAGATACAAAGTGCTAAAAAATGATTTTTCAATTTATCTCGAACATCATGCAAGGAAAGAAATGATCTTAGAAAAAGGAAAGGGGTATTTAGACCCTAACCCTCCAGTCTATGATAAGGTGTAAGGCTGGAAACATTGCTCTGAATCAGATCTGCAGCCCACTGACAGTGTCTAATGTGGGAGGGATGTTGCTCAGTATGAGTGGCAAGGCCCAAATGATACATAGTGTTTTTCATGCTCTAAACTTGCAAGTCACTCTTCAGAGTGAAAGTCTTCTTCTGCTCAGAGACCAGAGGATTGTGACCAAGCATGACACCTCAGTTCTGTAACTCCAATCATGGATTTAGTAGCACTATCGGCATAATGTCTAAAAGTACTTATCTTTGGTTAGGACAATGTACTTATTTATTTGTAGATTTTTATTTTACTTTTTCTCCAGGAAATCAAGATGTCTTACATAGGGGACTCCTTTCATTTTATCCAAAAAACAACAATCTTATATGGTAGACTGAGCTGAGAGAGTATGACTGACCCAGAGTCACCGAGTGAATTTTTGCAGCTAAAGGTGGACTTGAATTAGGCAGAATAAATTATTTTCATACATGCAAGTATTTATGGTGCTTAAATTATCTGCAGCCTAAATCTCACCTTTCCAAAAATAATTTTTAAGAATTTCAACTCTCTTACAGGTTACATTTAGGCAAAGTACTCAACTCATTCCAAAAACTGTTAAGCTTAATAAAATTAAAAACAGAAACAGATGCAAGAAACATGTGAAATTCATCCCTCTAATTTACAGGAGTCCTTAGCCCTGTAGATCATAGTATTCCTGTTTGTTGAAGTGTAGCTTTAGCAAGATTATATTTATCTAAATATAGAAGGGAAATGGGGCTTGTTCGTTTTATATGAATTCATTCTGGAGCAGATAAGGAGGGTTGGGAGCATGTTTTTTCAGTAGTTTCACTCTTTCCTGACCAGCTGATTCCAAAGGTGATTACTGATAGATTGATTCAAACCTCAAACTGGCTAAGTCTCTCTGTGATGATTTATGGCTGGAAAGAGCTACACAAAACTGCACAAAATACAGACATTAAAAAAAAAAGGAAATGGAGCAATACAAACATTGCTGAAATAGCTGAACAATGAGAAGAATCAAAATGCTGCTGTTATATGACTATCTTTCTGCTAAAATGTCCTCTGGGATCTTCGGTAAGTTCCTTACCTGTGGCTGATGCACAGAGACTATGAACAAGAAATAATATTTTCATAAAACAGTGCCTTAAGAATAAATACAAAAAACTAAACTTCACTATTCATTAACAAGTGCCAAATCTTGTTTACCTTTTTCTTTTGTTCTTCTGTGGCTTTAATTATTCCTGGGTCTGATTTCCAGGATTTTCCAAAATTATAGAAAAGTGCAACACTATTGGCAAGAAATGGAAGGTGGATAAACAGAAAACTGAGATGTACTATCATTAAGGAATTTAAATACAACATTCTCAAATTAATATTAGTTTTATTTTAAAAACAGTGCAGTGTCCTTCAAAGCAAAGTTTTCTTAATTAACGAAATTTACTTCTACTATGGATACCAAAGAGTGTTCCTAATGCAGGAGACAGGGGAAAGAGGAGGATCAAGGAAGTTTCACTGGAAGGTTAAGGAAAGCATTTGTACGAAAGAATTCAAACCTCTCCTACTTACTATCATATCCCAAGCTTAACATCAAGCAAAGGGAATGAAAAACTTAAAGCACACCCAGGAAAGAGACTGAAAGTTGTACACTTTAGTGAGAGGTAAACATCGCTATTCTGGGATCCATGGAACACAAATAATTTCTTCTTCTAGAACATTTATTCCCAAAAACTACTGAACCACTGCTAGATTAGCACATTCTGGAAGAAAAATGGAACATTCCAGTGTTCCCCCAAAGTTCTAGCCTCAGAACAATTAATTTTCCACCAAGTAACAACCATCTATCTGCCCTCATTTCCACTCTACTGGTCTGTGCTGGCATGTCTTTGGAATCATCAGAGCTTCTGAGATCAGAACATAATTATTAACATGGTAGAATTATTCTGCCCATATTTCTCCCAAAGACAAGACTAGATGGGTAATAATGAGAATTATAGCACAACGTATCTGTAGTGCAGATATCTGTCGTGCATCAGGTTGGGGAAGTCTGAATATCAATAAAATATTACGACTGCATCTAGAAAATGATTTAAGACCAAGTAATCAAATATTTTCAGTGGATTTAATTTATTTTAAATTAAAATGTATGATTGCAACAAACTCCCCCAAATTAAAGTCCTATAATGCATTCTAAAATACTGAAGTATATATATAGACTTCTCCAGAAAATGGCAAAGAAGACTACACATATTTTATTAGGAAAAAGATGAATGGCATTGTCTGTCACTACAGTTTTGGTAATGTCAGCTCTTTTCAAACTCAGATATTAACTTTTAACTAAGAATCTACAAACCAAATGAACATATTGGAAATTATTTCCCACTCCCTGTTCATGGCCTTCTAAAAAAAAAGGTCTTACTGGAAAAAGAGTCTAGTACAGTATGAGCAATTTATTTTATTATTCACAAAGCAAGTGACTGCATTTTTCATTTATTTTTTAATTTATATGAATTTTATCTACTATTCATTAAAAGGAATCCCTTTTATTCTGTAAAGAAGAAATTATACCTTTTAATTAAAGGTCTTACTGGAAAAAGAGTCTAGTACAGCTGAAAGAATGGACAAGTGGTAGCATCAAAACATCATCCCTGAAAGTTGGCTGAAACAACCTATAAAACAGCAGTGTGTGTCATTTAGAGTCATTCACATGGAAATGGAAAATTTCCATGCTCTTAATTTCCACAGTTCTTTTAATTAAAAAAATATTTCTATATAGACTGAATAATTTATTTCTTAATGTTAAGAACAATGACAAATTTCTCAATATAATGATTTGTTTTAGGTTCTTCAAAATTGGGATGTGCATAAAACAAAAATTTGCTTCATTCTGATTACAGCATTACAACCCTGGATTGTGTTAACCCTGTTTTGGGCTGGCCAAAATCTGGAAAAACTAAATCTGGAACATAATGCCTGTGCTAAGTTTGGGTTATCTGAAACCCAGAAGAGTTATAGTTATACATAAGTTATACATTTGAATTCAGAACAAGAGCCTTGCCTGCACAAATTTGAACAGCCACTAGATGGCAGCAAAGCAAGACAAAAATCCCGACCTCCTTGCTGCCATCTAGTGATCAATCCAGATTTTGCAGCCCAGTCCTGGTAGCCTTAGCCCTAGCCTTCCTTGAGCTGAGCAGGCAAAAAAACAAGTTTTAGCCTAGGATATAGATATTCTTATTGAAAGGAGTGTGATGGGTGATTGGCTGGTTCTATGTGTTTCTGATCTCTCATACAACACAAATCTTTCAATAAATTACTTTCTTTAGGGTAGGAGTGCATGCTGGCAAAAAATATTAAATTAATTCCAAGTGGTATATCATCACGGTGACACTTATGCATTTCCTCCCAAACTAGGTCATGTATCGATGGCTGTGTGGGTCTTCCGGGCTGTGTGGCCGTGTTCTGGAAGTTTTGTTTCCTAATGTTTCGCCAACGCATATGCAAGACAGAAGCCCTTACACCCAGACTATACGGACTCCCCA